CTGTAGAAGAATCCTAAGCCCAACAACAGCACAGTATATATATATTTATACTATTAAGAAGTATAAGTAAAAGCCTTTTAATTTATAATTGGCAAATAATTATATATTATAAATTCTTACAATTATAAATTTGAGTAATGAGTAACGAAGTTCAGTAAAATACTTAATGAGAAATTAGTGAAGTACTGAGTGAGTGATTCAAGTCATTATTAGTTATCTCGTATATTCAGTTGCTCAATCGATTAGCTGTAGAATTGTGTAACTTACTAGTAAGTTTATTTGTAAGTTAGGTATGAGTACCATTAGCGAGAAATTTCCGTTGAAATTTGTTATTTATGAACTTATGCCAACAATTGTGTCAAAGGGAACATAACCTGTAGAAGCGTTATAAAAAAATATGCTAAATTGTTAGCGTTACATGGTCTGGGCTTGTCATTATTTTTACCAATGATCCAAAAGAACTCGCACAGCGTTAGAACGCGTTGCAACAATACTTTATACAAATAAAATAAAAGGAGTTGCTGTTTTTTTTTGTTGTTGTTTTGATTAGCATCTATAATGTGTTTCTTTTCTATTATCAGAAGTTTCATTTCTTGTATTTCTCTTGAACTGTCCCCTACTGTAAGTGAAACCCAAGTAGGTCGAGAAACACGTTTGACGTGGTAAGTTATTTTATTCTGTTGAAGAAAAATCGTTTTCATAACGATTTCTAAGAAGGTTAATATTTAAGTAATGAAAATGAAAAACGTCTTAATGAAAAACAAATAAAGATTGTTTTAAGCACATAAAACTGTAAAACCGTTTTATAAAAAAGTTGAATGGGTAGCGTTTTTATGAAATTCATGGGATAAGTTGCTGAAAAAGGAAACTTTTGCTTGTCTGATTTCCAAGACTTAAATTAACGTTGTCTTAAAAACCCTCTAATTTATATCAGGTTATCTATTTTATATAATAAAATGGGTCGAGCGTGGTCTAATGTTACGGGCTGCAGATCAAAAGGTCCAAGGTTCGTGCCGCGATATGCCACGGTTTCACCTGCTCGGGCGTCATAACCATGACAACCAGTCCCGCTACTCGATTAAATTTAGGTAACGGTAAACAGCGGATACTGTTTACTGGTTATCCTTATTTGATCAGCAGTTATAAATTTGAGAAGGAGATGCCTGAACCATAGGGTCTCTGACTTGGTTAGCTCACGTGTTGCATAAGGTACTGTTCAGTTTGAAAATATCAACATAAAATCAAAACACATTTTCTAAAATTTTTCAATGTTAAGAATTTTAAACTTTATAAAATATTAACTTCGGTTTTCTTCATAAACCAACTTCTGTAATTATTATTAAATTTCCGCTAATTGCAGATTACTCTACATTTCATTTATTTCCAACAGTAGTTGTTGTGCTTCATTCTACTAAGCCACTATGCACAGATCAGTAGTATGTTTAATAACGTTTTATTTTATCATCATTAAGTTGTTTTACAAACGAAACTATCCAAGTGCTAGTTACTTTTAAAACAATGTTAATGAACTAAATGTATTAAAAATCTAAAGTCTAAACTATGTATAATGCACCGCCGAGGATTTGTAGTTAATGTTTAATTGTTTTCCGATGCTTTTACAGTATATAGTAGTTACCTAATTTTAATTTAGCTGTTTTCAGGAATCGTTTTAATGGTTTCTAAGAATCGGGTACTTACCATTCCGTACTGCTGAAAGTAACTTTTTACGTCTTCCAAAGTGGTTGGTGCAGAAAGACCACCAACAAAAATCTTTTTTGTTCTTGTCACCATCTGTGCAGAACAAAAGTTTTATGAGCTAATATGGCGGAAAAATGTACATAAAAAGTAAAATAACAGATAAAACAGACAGAATATCACGAAAACTTCCCGATTCCAATTTTTCGTTTTTGAACTGATAGAGGACTTAATTTTATCGTCCTTAGCCATTTATGACTAAATATAACTTTTCTTGGCAATTAGTACACATAATCTACTGTCGTATACATTGAAGCAAGATCCTTGAAGGTCGTTCGTGAGACAAAATTCGTATGCGATCTGATATTCAAATTATTTATTCCCTCAAGATACAGGAATCCTCCACACGAATTATTGTTGGTACTTGTTTCTTCATCTGTTGAGTTCTAGTTACTTGGCAAATAAACGAATTATTGTTGGTATTTATTTCTTCATCTGTTCACTTCTAGTTACTTGGCAATAAACTAATTATTGTTGGTATTTATTTCTTCATCTGTTCACTTCTAGTTACTTGGCAATAAACGAATTATTGTTGGTATTTGTTTCTTCATCTCTCTACCAACAATAATTCGTTTATTGCCAAGTAACTAGAACTCGCCAAGTAACTAGAAGTCAACAGATGAAGAAACAAATACCAGCAATAATTCGTTTATTGCCAAGTAACTAGAAGTCAACAGATGAAGAAACAAATACCAACAATAATTCGTTTATTGTCAAGTAACTAGAAGTCAACAGATGAAGAAACAAATACCAACAATAATTCGTTTATTGCCAAGTAACTAGAAGTCAACAGATGAAGAAACAACTACCAACAATAATTCATTTACTGCCAAGTAACTAGAAGTCAACAGACGAAGAAAAAAATACCAACAAGAATTCATTTTTTGCCAAGTAACTAGAACTCGAGAGATGAAGAAACAAAAGCAATAATTCGTTTATTGCCAAGTAACTAGAAGTCAACAGATGAATAAACAAATACAACAATAATTCGTTTATTGCCAAGTAACTAGAAGTCAACAGATGAATAAACAAATACCAACAATAATTCGTTTATTGCCAAGTAACTAGAAGTCAACAGATGAAGAAACAACTACCAACAATAATTCGTTTATTGGTATTTGTTTCTTCATCTGTTGACTTCTAGTTACTTGGCAAGTTAGTTATGTTTTATTTTTATTACATAATCGATGTAGTTTATATTTTAGAGGAAACTTTCAACAAACAAAACTAAAACTCTTGTAATATTTCCACGTGGGTTTAAAACCAAGCCAACGCCTTCAAGCAGTATATTGCTTTAGAGCCAAATATGGACGGTTCTGATATCGTAATAACTACTACCCATTTTGATGTGGGTTTTTACACCCTTAGCTATTTGGTGAACCCAACTTTACCAGTCTCTTAACTGTGCAAATAGAAATGGACCGGACCCCTTGTTCAACTCGCCAACCAACATACACGACTATATTAACACTAAACAAAAATGTACGATGTTATAATCATCAAAATATAACTTTCTTGTTAGTAAAGAACATTTACGCACTTGTTAGATCGAATCAATTCACTTGGTGAGAAACATCATTTCTATCGATAATTATTAGTCTGCTAGTCACGGTATGCGATGGGTGTGCCTGACTAGTTTTTATAAGCCTAAGGCTGACACAAAGTATAAACGACACACTACATTTTGCAGCAATTATATTCGAATGAAATTGATCTTGAAGCTTCAACTATCAGCTCTATAACTCCATCTGAATGAGAAAATTATTTCATAATTGTAGAAAATAAAGTTATTATTCGCGTTTTCTACTAATAAAAATATATATGTGTAAGTGCTTTGTATTTGTACGTAATACATAGAAATATACAGAAAGATAGGTAACTTTGTAGGCAATTGATAAAATAGTGATTATTTTAGTATCATGTATCATCTCGTTCTGTAATATAATGGAAAAAAATTAATCCACCTGTAATGGAGAGAATTTATATTTTTCCAACACATCGTATTTTTGTTCTCACCAGTAACCTACATGACATTTCCCTTTTTATGAAGGTGTTTGCGTATTGAGAAACTCGAATCATTCTACGTATATAATTAAATATCCTACAAAATTATAAGGGAAATGAGACTGGATGATAAAAAATTTACCGTTAGTAACTGTAAAAATCCGATTTATATTTTTTGTTTCTCTTTATAAAACGTTCTTATGCGTTATGATTCACGAAGTGATGGATTAATAAATATTTTACAGATTTAAACCATTTTGGTTAATGTGTGCCTTTGTGATATTACTTAGTAACCTGAATAAATTAGGCTTGTAAAACTTTCAAAATCAACTAGAACCAGAAATGTGACCCATGTGTCCTCTAACGATACGGTCGATTAAATAAATTTATCATGTTTTAGCACTTTTCTCTACGTAAATTTTATTCCTGCTAATTTTTCAACCTTTTGCTGACAACATCATGAATGTAATCGTTCTAAGACATACAGAAGCCACTATGTATAAACTCTTAAATGTCGTATGTTATAGTTTAAAGATGCTTCTAGCTATCGATATATAGGATAATGAAATAACGGTACAAAATATTACAACAGGTAATGGTATAACGCGCATACAAAGAGGGAAACTTGCATTAGATTTTGACCAATTATAATCAACCATCTTTGTACAAGTAATATAATTTAAACCTATAATCTGTTCCTCGCACTTTGTTTATTAACCAGTTTCGCAGCTTCAGTGTTAACTCTTTCGTGGGAAAACTTTACAAAATCAGAAAGCTGAACACTTAAATCTATTTTAAAATCAATTAAATTATTACACGAAATGCATAATAATTATTAAAAACATTAAACAAATATTGTTTGCCCCTGAAGAAGAAAGCGTTTTGTTTATATGGTTTTATTGTTTTATATTAAAAAATAATAAAATGTAATAACTTAAACGATAAAAAATCTACATATTTAAAAGAGTAACGTATGCGCGTGCGTGGGAAGCTTTTTAAACTTTATTAAACTTTGCAAAAATGAAATTAGAAGTAAGGAAGTGCGAAAGACGTCATCCTATGCGTAAGGAAAGGATGGGTGAAGATAGTATTATATATTGCAAAATGAAAGGTATCTAGAGAATGAATCTATCATCTCTCAGAGCCCCATCTCAGGTAATAGTGTTTATGTGTTAAGGTTTTGTGTATAAATTTCTTCATATGTTTATATACACTTAGATTACCGGTACCGTTACCCTATTGTGATTTAATACTATCTCCCGATACCCAAGTTTTGAAAGCGACGATAAATCTGATGTCTCTTATTATCTAAGTCGATCGCTTTGTCATATTTGATCACGCCATTCGGCTCAAAGTGTTGTGGAATAGGTTTAACCTCGTAGTCATTGAGACACCCTGCACGGTCATCAGATTCGTTCAGAACTCTTCGTATCTAACCTCATATGTAAGCAGTCATGGCAGGACACTTAATTGTTTTAATTACTTTAAATACACAGAACTTACTTTACATATCATAAACTTAGTGTATTCAAATACGAAATACCCCGACCAAAAAATAAATAAAAATATTCATACGCGAAGCACGAGTTTTCTCCTAGTAAACTTAAAAGAGATCAACAAATCGCATTTTAACAAAACCAAAGTTTCATAAAGCTCTACTTATTTAGTTTAACATGTGTTGTATACGAATACGCACCAAACCTTTCAACTATCATGCTTTCCAAAGGTTCGTCCCCTAACACATTTCAATAAAATTTAAAGATGTAAAAAAACGATCAGTAGAATAAAAATTAAATGATCTTTTAATTATGTTTTCAAAATGGGAGGAAAACCTTAGAGCAGTTCTTTAAGATCACTCAAACAACTAAAATGTCCAGAAAAAAAATTTACTAACAGGGAACAGGAGCGTTTTCAGGATATGCGGCATGATATTGATGGAGATTCAATCGAAGTATTACGTTACTCCAACTTAAACACTTTAAAATATAAGCAACACATTTAGTTTGTAATTATAAACATATTTTGTCCTAAAGAAGTATTGCCCTCCAAGTTCTAAAATTACATTTCCTTATTGGACGAGGAGGTGGGGTGGCATTTATCATTATGCAATAATAATTTTTTACGGTAATATTGTTACTTTGCTTTGTATTTCATAATCTGTACGGGCTTACAGGTTGCCTTCTGGTCCATACATTTTAAAGAAACATCCTATAATTTATTATCAGCAACTTAGTGCATTTGTTGCTGAATTAAATTAACATTAACCTAAATACCTATTACAGATTTTACTACTGGAGATTAGTCACTGATGTTACAAAATCGTTCAATAAACAAAGTTTGAGAAGAAAATTATAGTTTTGGATGTTACTCTTTGTTAATATCCCTGAAGAAAGGTTTGAAAATAAATAATATATATTTCTATGAATGTATGTATAACTGTAAGACTACTCGGTTTAATACTGGCTTATCATCACAGCGATCGAGTTCGATTCTCTGAAGGCCTAACTCATAACTCGTAAATTATCTAAATAAATTACACATAATAATAGCACTTCATCATTCTATAAGGAAAACTTTAAATTTCTACTTTTGAGTATTTGTATTCATGATTTGAAACTGAAATAAAAAAAACTGACTTGAAAAAATGATTATATTAATCTTTAAATTTGATATAATTTATATATATATATATTATTTTTTATAGAGAACATGAATTTAAGGATGTAAGGCTATACTGTATTTTAGGTTCAGAACTACAACGTCTTACCCTATGTACAATTGCTTTTGTACACTATATTATTAACAAGCACTCGTTTTTAGATGTATAATTGGACAACTATTATGCAAAATAGTAAAAGAACAAAATTATATACGCTTTCAGAAATACTGCCGCTGTGTCAGGTCTGAAAATCGATTACAGTATAGGCATAGACTCATAGAGCGTTAAAAGAAGTGACAGCAAAAAAATATGCTTCATCATCAAATTCATACATGTACAAATATGTTTTAAGCATGAATTATCATGTAGTTTC